TTATAAGAAAAGAGATATCCAGATGAGCATGCCTAAATTTTGTGCTTTACATTTGTCCAATCTTAAACATTTCTACCAGAATATTTTGTTGAAAGGTTGAATAATAAAATACACATTTTTAGATTTGAAAAGTCCTTTAGTTTTTTTCCAGTTTAACGGTCTTCTAAGTATTTTTTGTAAGATCAGTCATTGCTTGTGAAAATCAGTCATCATCGTGTTCTTCCTTCATTCTGGTGTCTGATATCTATTCCCAGGCCACCTACTCTATTAGCCCAATATGGGCCAGCTGAGACTTCAGCTGAATTAAAGAGAGCCATTACCTCTAAGCATTAGAAAGGTTAATTAAAGTTCCTGACCTTGGAACCACCTTTCAGAAAAATAATAGACACTGGTAATTTTTCTGATCATTATATAACATTGTAGTGGTTCCTTGCCAGATATATAAAACGTTGTTCCCAATTTGAATTATTTTTTTAAGGAATTTTAAATCCTCAGTGGTTTGGATCAAATTGTTTCTATGGGCTGTTTTATTATAAAACTGGACTACTATTTTCACTGTAGAGAGGAAGTAGATCAACCAAAAGAACTTGAAAACCATGAACGGGGTTATTTATTTTGTTGTGTAAAATGTTGTGCACACTGACATTGTTCTACATAAATAATAATGACAATTACAAATTACATGCCGCTTTTGTAGTTTATTCCCTTTTTTAATATAAAATGTGACATAGGAATTCATGGTGAAGAGTAAAAATTGAATTGTGGAAGTTCTTTAATTTAAGTAGAAGTAATTGCTTCTGTATTTTCTGAGTTTTCTATTATTGAGTTTAATTGGATTATTAAAGATGGAAGTGTTGAGAATAAAATACTATTCCCTTTTCTCTTTTCCTCATTTAACAAAATAAAGAGTAGAACCAAGTTATATGGAGTTTACAACCATAGGGGAGAGACAGAAAGACATGAGTTATAAATGGGTGTCTATTTTACTCATTCTAGAAATAGAGGTGTTTGAACGCATCATAAATGTAGCCTCTGTATATGATTAAGTATTTTACTATTATTCAATTATTCATGACATTGTCCATGGTTGAAGATGTACACTGCAGATGACCTATACAAAATATATAGGATGTAACGTCTGTATTCCTTTCTTTCCAGCCCTAGTGAAAATTCTCTTTCCCATATTCTCATTAAAATTAAAAACATTTTTCTATTTCTATATACATTGCTTCCAATCTGATGGGGAAAATTGCATAATAGAATTAGTCCAGCCTCCTCTTATCTGTCTGTGTTGGAATGAGAGTAGAAGGAGGAGTTTTTATTCCTTCTGGAAAAGGAACAAAATAATTGGCTTTTCTTTACTACTATAATGCAGGAAAGGAAAGGAAAGGAAAGGAAAGGAAAGGAAAGGAAAGGAAAGGAAAGGAAAG